TGTGTGTGTGTGTGTGTATGTGTGTGAGTGAGTGTGAGTGTGAGTGAGTGTGTCTGTGTGTGTATGTGTGTGAGTGAGTGTGAGTGTGTGTCTGTGTGTGTCTGTGTGTGTGTGTGTGTGTGTATGTGTGTGTACCTGTTGTTCTGATTCTCCTGTACGAAGGGGTAGCAGGTGATCAGGTAGGAGGGGATTTGTGTGGGCTCAGCTCCACCCTCACCGCACAGACTCATGGGTAATAATGACGCTTCAACACCTTTCTTCTGAGGGATAAACGGTTCTACTTCAGCAGAGAGCTTCACATCCTGAAACACACACATATTTAAGCTGCATTATAGGGCCGTCAAATAGACTGAAAAACCTAACACTTGCATTTTTTACTTAAATATTACTAATATTCATATAGACTATTTCAGAAAGGAAAAAAGCTGCTGCCCACAAGAGGGCACTTTAAGCAAACATAGACGAAATCAAGCAGTGCACTAAATTGTTTATTGAAAGAATAATGAAATAACATGGCTGTCTGTGCATAGTTTTTTAACGCTCATAAAACAAAAATAAATGTGAAAATTGCATAAACAATTCTATGAAAACCCCATATTTTATGCAGTTTAATGCAAAGAGCATACTATTCATGACTGGTAACAGACGTTCATGTAAAATCTAATGTTATGCATTAACAAAAACTCAAAAGTGACACTCCAGAAATCATCAAATTGCAAGATTTCTGAAAACAACATTTTATAACTGTCTAGTCAGTGTCTTTTCAACCTAAAACCAGCCATATCAATAAGAAGAGATCTAAAGCATTTTATGTTGTCCATAAATGTAAGAAATATGACTGTTACGTAAATAAGTACCATGGTTTTACTCCAAGATCAGAGTAAGAAACTCATAATTGTAAATAATTATTTTCAATGATGACAAAACAATGCATATTAAAATCAAACAATATGAAATGCGGGAAACACGTGCATTTCCTCCTACAGAAATTCCCCTGCATCATATTTGTTGCATTATATGTTTTTTTTTTATATTATATGTTTGCATCATAATTCAGCATCGCATACTACCACACTACTCATACAATATCATTACACTTCACTAACAGCAAACAGAACCGTCCAGAGCGAGACGGCAGATGCCAGCGTAACACAGCGCTTCAAAAAACACACCGCACAGGTGAATAAATGATGTTTGTACAGTAGGGTTACAGCACAAACAAATAATTCCGGGAATCTAAACACGACCAACGTGAGCATGTGACTGCTGGTCAGGTGATGTCATCACATTCCACGCATTCCTGAACATCTCAGGTGAAACACAACAAACAAACGAGATCTCCATCATTCCCATAATTACGTCACGAAGCAGGAAGAGCTAATGATTAACAAGCTGAACACGCGTGTGTATACGAACACTTCCTCCTCACAGCATCAGCAAACGTCACACCACCTCTCTGTGTTGAAAGATGATACTAGTGGTGTAACAGTGTGAACCTCTCATTTTGGGGTCACGATTCCAGCACAGACTTCTGAAATGTATGGTTTTATGTGCACCAACAGGTTTAAAATATGTGCGTTATAAACACTTTTAATTTTTACATAATAAAAACAGAAGAACAGCAGCAGGACAGGCTAAAATCTACACAAACACATATATTATTATGTAAACAAAAACTTTTATTTTGGATGTGATTAATCGTGATAAATTGTTTGGACAGCACTAATAAAATCACTAAACTAGGAGGAAAGAAGAATTATGCAGAAATTAAAAATTATGCAGGAATATATTTTAAAAAATGTATTTAAGTAAATATTGAAGCAAAAATGTCTGTGGAGTGTGAGTGTGTGTCTGTGTGTGTCTGTGTGTGTGTGTGTGTGTGTATGTGTGTGTACCTGTTGTTCTGATTCTCCTGTACGAAGGGGTAGCAGGTGATCAGGTAGGAGGGGATTTGTGTGGGCTCAGCTCCACCCTCACCGCACAGACTCATGGGTAATAATGACGCTTCAACACCTTTCTTCTGAGGGATAAACGGTTCTACTTCAGCAGAGAGCTTCACATCCTGAAACACACACATATTTAAGCTGCATTATAGGGCCGTCAAATAGACTGAAAAACCTAACACTTGCATTTTTTACTTAAATATTACTAATATTCATATAGACTATTTCAGAAAGGAAAAAAGCTGCTGCCCACAAGAGGGCACTTTAAGCAAACATAGACGAAATCAAGCAGTGCACTAAATTGTTTATTGAAAGAATAATGAAATAACATGGCTGTCTGTGCATAGTTTTTTAACGCTCATAAAACAAAAATAAATGTGAAAATTGCATAAACAATTCTATGAAAACCCCATATTTTATGCAGTTTAATGCAAAGAGCATACTATTCATGACTGGTAACAGACGTTCATGTAAAATCTAATGTTATGCATTAACAAAAACTCAAAAGTGACACTCCAGAAATCATCAAATTGCAAGATTTCTGAAAACAACATTTTATAACTGTCTAGTCAGTGTCTTTTCAACCTAAAACCAGCCATATCAATAAGAAGAGATCTAAAGCATTTTATGTTGTCCATAAATGTAAGAAATATGACTGTTACGTAAATAAGTACCATGGTTTTACTCCAAGATCAGAGTAAGAAACTCATAATTGTAAATAATTATTTTCAATGATGACAAAACAATGCATATTAAAATCAAACAATATGAAATGCGGGAAACACGTGCATTTCCTCCTACAGAAATTCCCCTGCATCATATTTGTTGCATTATATGTTTTTTTTTTATATTATATGTTTGCATCATAATTCAGCATCGCATACTACCACACTACTCATACAATATCATTACACTTCACTAACAGCAAACAGAACCGTCCAGAGCGAGACGGCAGATGCCAGCGTAACACAGCGCTTCAAAAAACACACCGCACAGGTGAATAAATGATGTTTGTACAGTAGGGTTACAGCACAAACAAATAATTCCGGGAATCTAAACACGACCAACGTGAGCATGTGACTGCTGGTCAGGTGATGTCATCACATTCCACGCATTCCTGAACATCTCAGGTGAAACACAACAAACAAACGAGATCTCCATCATTCCCATAATTACGTCACGAAGCAGGAAGAGCTAATGATTAACAAGCTGAACACGCGTGTGTATACGAACACTTCCTCCTCACAGCATCAGCAAACGTCACACCACCTCTCTGTGTTGAAAGATGATCCTAGTGGTGTAACAGTGTGAACCTCTCATTTTGGGGTCACGATTCCAGCACAGACTTCTGAAATGTATGGTTTTATGTGCACCAACAGGTTTAAAATATGTGCGTTATAAACACTTTTCATTTTTACATAATAAAAACAGAAGAACAGCAGCAGGACAGGCTAAAATCTACACAAACACATATATTATTATGTAAACAAAAACTTTTATTTTGGATGTGATTAATCGTGATAAATTGTTTGGACAGCACTAATAAAATCACTAAACTAGGAGGAAAGAAGAATTATGCAGAAATTAAAAATTATGCAGGAATATATTTTAAAAAATGTATTTAAGTAAATATTGAAGCAAAAATGTCTGTGCTTCTTTTTGCTGCATTCACTAAGTCTTCGAGTTTCAACCATGGCTTGCTTTCTGTTAAGGCAAAATTTGAATTATGCACAATAATTTCCGTTCATAACATATAAATAATTTTGCATGAGAATGTAAGACTGTTTGTTTAAAGCTTTCAATTGTTGAGGCAGATTATGCATTAATGAATTTTACAAATGCACAATATCGCTCTATAATAGGTTCCGTCTCAGATGAACTGAAGCAGCTCTGACCCAAGATGCAATATGATAATGAAGTAATGGAAAAGATATATAAGTATAATAATAATGACAACATCCTGACTCCCTGGTGAAACACACAATGACTCAGAAACAAAGGCACGTCTGATGCTGAGATCCAGAGCACTGACCGTGTGTGTGTGTGTGTGTGTGTGTGTGTGTGAATGGAGTGTGTGTTATAGCATACAGCAGTAATTGTTCATCTGTAGGTGGGGGGCGGAGCTCTGCACACTCTTCTGATTGTGACATCATCACAAACAGATCTGCTCTCTCGTCCAATCAAATCACAGACGGTAACATCAGTCCACGCAGATAATCATTTCTTTATAATCCTCTCCAAATGTAAACTCTCCTATCGGCCAGATTTAACCTGCATTGTGTGTGTGTGTGTGAGAACATTAATGTTTTGTAAACAGCGGACTTGAAATGTGCGCGATCAAGACTCACGGCTGATGAACTGAGCGTCAGGGATTAAAGTGAGGATCCGATGATCATTTATTGGTGCACTACCCCTTTAAACATGGTAAAATGTTTAATATTTATGAATAAAAATAAATAAACACACAGGGGTGAAATATGACAGAAGATCTGCAGAGATTCAGTACAGATGAAAGTGAGGCGCTATTTATTATTGATTTTTTTATTTATTTTTTTTAAGTTAAGACAATCTTAACTATTTTCTTACTTCTTATTAGTAAAACAAAATGTATTCATGTAATTATTTACTTACTGATTTATAGATCTATTCTTGTTTTGTTTATGTATTAAATGTCAATGCTGTGGCAATTCTATGCAAGCCATGTCAATAAAGACCACTTGAATTGAATTGAATTGAACATGAAGCCAAGATAGATAAAGAGATAGAGAGAGAGCGCGAACTAACTGTGGGCTGAACTAATGAGAGCGAGGAGGGATGCTTTTGTCTTTTCAGCATTTCTGTTTCAAGATTGTGTGTAGAAAACAGAGGGTTTGTTGTGCTGAAGAACGACAGGACAGAGAGAGAGAGAGAGAGAGCGAGAGAGAGAGAGAGAGAGCGAGAGAG